CATTCACCATTTAATTAGCTATATGAAAAAGTAACTGAATGACACATTATTCTGCCTAACATCTCCTTTTGTAAGTTATATGGATAAGAAACAAAATAAAGGTTAAGTGATAAGATGTTTTATTTTTGGATGGACTATTTTATTCACAACATAATCTCTCTTAAAATACCTTTTTTAAATTATGATTATCAAAACAGTCCTGAGCTAGATCAAGCTTTGATCTCTGCAAACCAAACTATCACTTTAATTAAATATTTGTTTTTAGCCACTAATAAAAATAATTTATCATTAGCTAGCTCCACACTGGAGAGTTGCTTTATAACAGAAGATCAAGTTGTAAATCTAACTAAAAGCGGCACTGACTCTGGTTTTTCATGTTTAATAATACTGTAAAGCTGCTTGATTTAAGGCTATCTACTGCATAAAGTACTATATAAATAAACGTTATGGGACTGGATTTCACTGGAGTACCGAACTGCAGAGCTTGTGCAAACATTCACATCGCTGTAATCAGATGCTTTCTTAACTGCTGCTTTCTCACCACTGTCAGTTTTTGTTGTGTTTATTTCGTTATTGAGAGGAAAGCATGCAGCATATATTTACATATTCATCCAAACGCTGTGTCTTCTCTTGAATTGCATCCAGGAGGGCTGAATTACAGTCTTGTGCTACAGCGCCACACTGGTCAAACCACATTATTTCAGACTCTTACATTAGGATATATGAGATCAAACGACTACTCAACAAAAGTATTTGTCGACAATTTTTTGTCGTTGACATTGTCGCTAATGTCGACTAATCGTTTCAGCTCTGCTTTATGGGTGAACTATATTTTTTAAGTAATCAGCGTTACGATTTTCACCTCATGGACAACCTAAACTAAATCTAGAGACCAGAAGACCCCTCTTTTCACATGAGAAAACATGTACAAGTTTAGTTTGTGGTGTTGCTTTTTTCCCCATATAAGCCATATGGATTCTTGGTTGACAATCAACAATGTTATTATGGCGCATTGCACCTGCAGTGCTATACAGACGCCCTGAAGCGGACTGAACAACCTTATCAGTCCGAAATTAGCTAGACAAGCTTGATATAAAATCAATGGATATGTTTAGTTCAGCCGAACAGCTGAGAGGGTCTGTCTGAGTGCATTAGATGCACTCTTCGAATTGTTCCATACAAACAAGGCCTTTGTAGTTCTATTGGGATTTCAGAGGCCATTTTGATGCTTTTTGATCTTTGATATTGTGTTATCAGCAGGAACTTCAAAGTTTGGCCGTGCTCTAATTTTCATAAAAGGTTTGTGTTGACAGAAGTTTGTAAATGAGTTTGTCTACGAACCCAAGACGCCAGACTCTGGCGGGAACACGCACCTGTTTGTGTTCAGCATCTTCACAAGCTATAGATCTCAAAACATTTCATTAGATTTCCGTTCCACACAAAGACGTTTTCACAATAGCCCGACACAAAACCCAAAGCAGCCTCCGAGGAAATATCAACAGGGTTTTTACGTTTTAGAGGATGTTGCTTTGTGTTTCCTGCTACTTGCTTTAGATCAGCACTGATAAAAAGGCAACATTTGGCACACAGCATTCAAAAGATATCTCATTAGCCTCCGCCTGACACAGGTGTTTACGACGAGAGTATTAGCTGGAGAGAAAACAGATGAATCGCACTGATAGGGGCTCCATTTCGTGACAACTCTTTCTTTAGGGGAGAGCGCCGCCGTACATATTCATTAGCATCAAGCTTGCTGTTTTTCTCGACTCGTGAATGAAATCGCAGTCGAGAAGATGGTTGCATTCGTCTTTGGCTGCAATAAGGTCTAACTCTGCAGTACGAGCAAGCACTCTGGACCTATTTTTGACTCTCTTTCTTGGTAAATAATGGAGGGACACTCAGCGCAAATAGGCTGAAACCCATTTTGATGGACAGAAACAACTGGCAGAGTCCTTCCCAAAGGTCTTACAGCAATATTTGAAGTCCTTGGTGTTGTGTACAAAACAGATTTACACTCAATATTGGTCGCTCTCGCCCAGCTGGTTCTTTTAGCAAAGCCAGATATTGCTTGTAAATCCATGAAAACCCAGAGCCGCTGTGAGTGTGTTTTTTCGTGCATTGCATCAGGGATATGTCACTGCTTTCGTAAGCACCTAAACCTGTCCGTCACTGACGATTTCTAAGCAAAGTTGTTGACATACGGTGTTTATGGTGAATTAAATATAATTCTCTTTCTCTGTTGAACTCACGGTCTGGTGTAGTGTTAGATCTGGGAGCATTTTGTAAAACAAAGCCCAGATTTGGCTTAATAACACCCAGCAATATTCCAGTTTTTGGTTCACGCTGGATGGCCAAAATCAGGCAATCAGAGCAGAAATGTTTGCGCATAAAACTAAAAATGCATATCGTAATTGATGCTTCCCCAGACGGAGATGTAGAATTGGTCACACGAGCTACGCATGTATATTTATTGAAAGGAGAAGATGTGCCTTTATGTGATTTTTGTAAGTCTCTTCCTTGGCTGTAAAACATTTTATTAGAGTGTCCTGCTTTAAATTATACTAGGAAACGGTTTTAATCAGAAAGTACATTAATAGACTAATTTAAAAAAAGTTTCTCCTGGTAAAATATTAGAATTTTTATCAAACATAAATTTGAAAGTTTGTATTTAATTCTTTTTTTATTATTTTGTTTGTTTGCAAACATAACATTGTTAAATTATTGCATACAATTTATTAAAGTATTGTTATTAAGACGATTTTAAGTTTTATTCTTGCGTCTGTCATGAATATAGACTTTGACTCTGATATGGCAGAAAATTATAAATAAAATTTCTCCAGATGGCGTCCGGTTATAGTCGAATGTGCTAATTGATGTTTCCCATTTCCTGCAATCAATCTTTCTTCATCCATGTTTTTAATATACATGAGTAGCTTGATTGTGGACCAATCAGATTTCACGGTGGGCGGGGCCTCTCGCCACAGGGCTAAAATAAAAAGGCCAACCAATTATAGTGCTGGATATCAAGTAGTCGAGTACAAATGCCATCTACTGGTGTAGAACAGATTTTCACTCACAAATTGCTAGTAAATTTCACAGTAAAAATAACAAGTAACACATTAAATCAAACATGGAATTCTGAAGTAGAAAAACTAAAAAATAGTAATTTCTCATAAAACATTTATTTTATTTTTTTTGCAACTTAAAATCTTTTTTTTTTTTTTACAGTGAATCAGCTTTTTGCTTGCAGGGCATATGTTGCTTGCATACACATTTGTACGGTGGCCGAGAAGTGCTAAACAAATCACAATTCTGAAATCAAAATAACAAATTACAAACGCAAATGCAAGTCTAAAAAACAAAATAAAAATTCAGAAAGCACAACCGATTTTACTCGCGATCTTTACAACACGCATTACATTATGTATTTCATGGCACACTCGTTTTATGCGGTTTTGGCGCCACCTATTGTTGTGGGTGTATTATTGACATGTCAAAGTCTAGACCCTGAATATAAGACGACCGCGTTTTTTCAGATGTATTTCCAAGAAAAAAACATAGTCTTATATTCGGGACAATACGGTATTTAAATTGAAATGCTTTCGGCTGTGCCCATATGTGAATACATGTATTATTTATCTTGCAAGAAACAGGCTTGTATTTCTATATAAATCTAGGTTGTGAGTTTTAGGTTGCTGTATTTAAATAAATATTTCATAGTCGTACCATATGCTCAGATTCAGCCACGAGTTGTTTACGGCCGAACCTGTTGTGGCAGGAATTGGTCGGCATCGCAGTAATAATAAGTTGCGCTTCAAGTCTGCTCGTGTCCTTTGAAACAGTGTTTTATTAGCGTCAATATGTTATGCGCACACCCATCTAACACATACGTTCTCCAGATGATGTTTTAAACCAGCCTGCAGTCATTTGAACGGAGAAATAAGCCTGTGCTGGTGTATGTGTGCTTGTTCATGTGTTGGCAGTCGTGTTGCATCACTGTGAAATGTTCTGTTGCTTGCAGCCGCTTTCCAGCAGTTTTAGTTATTCACATATTTTTTTATAGTTTGACGGCAGGTATGTTGGAACAGTATCTGGTTTGGTATGCACATAGGTTTCCTTGTTTTGGTTTATATTTATTTATTTATTTACTTGCAGGTTCAAAGGGTTCTGAATCATTTATATGAAAACAAGAAGATCGCAAGTGCCACTCACAATATCTATGCATACAGGTATTTCAGTTTTTAATTCATTATAAAGATTTGCAGTTGTTAGGCAAACAGTAATATTTATATATTTTTTTTCTTTTCACAAACTTATGCAAATTTACAGACTCCATTCAGTCCTTTGTACATAATTTTGCTTTATTTCTACCATAGATGTACATTTTGCAGTTCATACGTCGTTTTTTCTAGCTACTTTTTAAGATATTTAAATGAAAGTAATCTCCCATTGAGTTGCATTAGTAAATGCTCACTGTAGTATTTGCATACTTATAGAAAAGGTATTAAAGTGTACATTTTACAAAATTGTTTGAGGTTTACATTTAAAACAAGAAAAAAAAAAACATTTCCACTGTACTAAGAAAAATAAACTTAATTCAAGATACGTTCTCTGAAAATTAATATCTTATGGGATTTCTTATAAGTAAATGCATCTTGTTCTAAGGATTTTGAGATGTTTTTATCACTAAAAGCATCCTTAAAACAAGATAAATTCAACAGTTCAGTTTACATCAGATTTACAGATATTATACATTTTGTTAATATTTTGAACGAGATTTTATTTTCTACTTTTATTTTAATTTTAGCTAAAGTTTTAACTGTTTTGTTGTGTATCTTTTAGTTGTTTTTTTAAATGTTATATTGTTTTTTATTAATAATCATTTTACTTTGTTTATTTTAGTACTTCAACTAAATGAAAATACGAAATGCTGCCTTTGCAACCAGCTTAAATAAAATAAGTTTAAGTGTTTTTATATATTTGATTTTATTCCAGTTAAAAAATTTTTTAAGTAATAACCCTAAAAATAATTTTAGTTTTAGTTGACTATAATAACCCTGTTCTGCATTCAGCAATTGCTAGGGGAAGTTTTTTCTTAGTATGTTATTCGATTTCAGCCAGTATTTCAGTTATTGATGCATTTAGGTTTATGCATTGACATGAAGACTGTAACGTCAGTGCGGGACGTGTGTGTGTGTTTAAGCGAGCACAGCAGCGGGGTTTCTTCAGGACATGATCAGTGACATACAGTAGGGGTGGAGTGGCTGAGATTAAACCGCAGGTGATATTGACATTCAGCATGTTTCTGAAGCCCCTGGCCACAACCCTCACAGCCACACAAAACCTCGAAAGAAAGCTGGTGTTTTCATTAGAATTGAATAGGGCTGTCAGTTTAACACGTTAACTTAATTAATTAGTTATGAAAAAATTACGCGATTAAAATATTTTAACTTAACGCACTGGCCCCGCCCCCAGACCTGTACGTCATCTTACATTTCATACAGTTGACTGTTGACAAATATGATGCAGGGAAACAACTCTGTTTGAGTGCACTGCAAATGCGATTTTACACAACAGTTCAGTAAATAATGTTGATATTGTGTTGTATTTTAAACACAATATTGTCTGTTTTTGCTCAATTTTGCCAACAAAAATATTACCTATAAAGCCACAGCAGAACTGTTGTGCGTCTCCGAGCAACACAGCAGTGTTTAGTTTCTGAATGAATCCGCGTTTTGAACGAATCGGGTGAATCAATGATTCAAAGCCCCATTCATGAAGTGAGCCGTTTACGGAATTCCTGAATGAATCAGCCATTTGAACGAATCGAATGAAAGGCTCATAAAGACATTTACCGCCACCTGCTGGCAGTTTTAGTTTCTTATTTAGAGTATTATTTCATTAGAAAAGGGTGGGAAAAAAGAACAAAAAACTTTAAAGGAATAGTTCACCCAAAAATTTTTAATTATGTCATCATTTACTCAAACCTGAATGACTTGCTTTCTTTTGTGGAACATAAAAGAAGGTATTTTGAAGACTGTTGGTAACAAAGCTGTTTTGGTTACCAATGACTTCCATTGCATGAACCGAAAAAAAAAACTGAGCTGCCTCTAAAATTATCTTCTTTTATGTTCCATAGTTTATGTTAAGCCGTGGTAGCCTAAACATTTATGTGTAATAAATTTTGTTGAATCTAAAATATTTCTTTCTAAAGCTACTACTTATAATGTGTACTTAATACTTTCTCATTTAACACAAAAATAGCATTAAATAATCTTTTGGAGGTATTTTCACAGACAAATGTAATTTGCGATTAATTAGATTAATTAATCGACACATCATGTAATTAATTAGATTAAAATTTTTAATCGACTGACAGCCCTAGAATTAAATAGATCAGTTATGATTACTTATTGATTGCTGTCAGTCATTATCGTGGACTGTTCTTTATTAATGGCTTGCGGCAGAATATTTTGATCAGATGATCGGTAAAGTACCATGTCTGTTATGTTGGAATGTTTGGAATATTTCAAATGTATAAATATTTTAAAGGTCTCTTCTGTTGACCAAGGCTGTATTTATTTAATCAAAATAAAGTTAAAATGTGAAATACTATTACAATTTAAAATCTCTGTTTTCTATGTGAATATATTGTAAAATGTAATTTATTTCTGTGATCGCAGCTGAATTTTCAGCATCATTACTCCAGTCTTCAGTGTCACATGATCTTCAGAAATCATTCTAATATGCTGATCTGCTGCTCAAGAAACATTTCTGATTATTATCAATGTTGAAAACAGTTGTGCTGCTGAATATTTTTGAGATATAAAACCATTCACAAGTTTGGACGAAGTATGATTTCTTTTTCGTTGCACTAAACTGATCAAAAGTGACAGTAAAGACATTTATAATGTTACAAAAGATTTCTATTTCAAATAAATGCTGTTCCTTTGAACTTTCTATTCATCAAATAATCCTGAAAAATAAAATGTATCAGTTTCCACAAAAAAGCTGAAAAACAGTGATTTCTGAAGATCATGTGACACTAAAGACTGGAGTAATGATGAGGAAAATTCAGAGCTGTATCACAGAAATAAAATTAGATTATTATTAGTGCTGTCAAACGATTAATCGCGATTAATCGCATCCAAAATAAAAGTTTTTGTTTACATAATATATGTGTGTGTGCTGTGTATATTTATTATATATATATATATATAAATACACACACACTCATACAGTATATATTTAGAAAATTGCATTTACATGTATTTATTTATTTATATTTACATAATTTATATTATATATAAATATTTAATATACAAATATACAATTTTTCTTAATTATATACATGCATGTGTGTGTATTTAATGAGTACATAAATATACACAGTACGCACACATATATTATGTAAACAAAAACTTTTATTTTGGATGCGATTAATCGCTTGACGGCACTAATTTTTACATAGATTCACATAGAAAACAGCTATTTTAAATTGTAAAAATATTTCACAATATTACATTTTTACTGTAATTTTGATTAAATAAATGTAGTGAGCAGAAGACACTTCTTTCAAAAACATGAAAAAAATGTAATTATTCCAGACTTTTAACCGGTAATATACAACAAAACCCCATGCTACTTTTAAACAAACCGCAAATCTTGTTTAACATGTCCCACATTATTTGTGCTAATGATGAATCCAATGTCAAAACCACATGGGCAACCTTAGAAACCATTAAACAATCTTTTTCTTCTTCTTTAACGGTTACATTTGATCTGGTGAGGTCTTGTTGTTTTATCAAAACTTTGAACTGTGCACTTTGTGATTTAGCACTGACTGGCCACTTTGTTCACACCAGATGCCCAAAGGAAGCGTTCAAACTCCCGTCTCTGACACACACGAGGAGCCATATGTGCTGAAAGGTCTCTCTGGGCAGCACCGCGTCTCTTGGCTGTTAGCAAAGTGACTGTCAACACTGTGCTCATCTGCTGCTGCCTTTCATTCCCAACAACTATTCCCCAAATGATGGACCTTGTGCACTCAACACTGAAAAACCAGCGTCCCGATTTCCCACACTCCTCCCTGTGCCTGATATTACGCCGCATCCAAATCCTTGTCCAATTTTGCTCTGAAATACACCCACGACTAAAAAAACCCAGAAGCGGCGTAATGCGAGAGCAAGACGCTGCCGTTGTGATGGGCAGTTTTTGTAAAAGTGGCCCCTGAGGGTCCGCAGGGCAAAGAGCTGTGATTTGTTTTTTTACGTTTACTTAACAATGCCTTCATGTTTTCATCAGGATCTACTGTGAGGATAAAAACTCTTTCCTGCAGGACTGCGAGGACGACGGAGAAACCGCAGCGGAATGTATTTTTTTATTTGATTGGAATTTTTTTTATTTGAAATTGATATTAAATTATTATTGAATTTTTCTGCATTAATTTGTGCATTAATTATTTAAACCAAATATATTGTTTAGCATCACTGAATCAACTAAATACATTAATTTATACCAGCAAAACTAATTTTAATAAGTTAAAACAAATAGAAATAGCTATTTAAAGTAACAGTTGCCGGTTAACACTTTTTACAGTGAAGTTAATATTGTGTTCAGTTTTAAACACAATACTGTCAATATCATCCGTTTTGCTCATTCGCAAACCAAAATCGTTCCAATCAAAGCTATACAGCAGAACTGTTGTGCAGGTCCGAACAACACACAGCAGTGATTCATTACTAAATGAATCCATTAGTGAGTCAATAATTTAGTGATTCATTCATAAAGATTCTTGCTTCGTTTCTGAATAAAAAACAGCCATTCGAAATGAAACGGTTGCATGAATGATTCAATGACTCACTCGTTAAGACAGTGACTTGTGCTTTTAGTTTCATATTTAGAGTATCATTTCATATTTCAGTATTCTTTAATAGAACACTTGTTATCATTATTTATGCAACATTGAAGTAAAATGTTTTTATTTCTAAAGCTGCATTTTTGTAATGTCAATTCAGTGCTTTACTCATCTAACACAATAATGACTTTAAATGATCTTTTGGGATTTCTCAGCTCAAACTGATGTGCGATTAATAGCTTGACATTTCTAATACTAATGCATCATTGTCTTTAATCTGTGGTTTGAAGCAAGCTCTGCACGTGTCAAGCGTCAATGGCACAATTCAGGCATCTTGTTGATATGCTGCTGGGATTATCGTCCCTCCTCCTGTCCTGATCCCAATTCCTTTCTTGCAGTGTCAGATATTTGCACGCCGATGTGTCATTCATCCATAATCTTCGTGCTTATCTCCTGTTCTCTGATTAAAAGGCCTCGGAGCGCCGGCGTCAACACCCTCCGGTGTGAAATACGACATGACACTGTAATCTCTACCCACTTTCATTTAGACCCGACCAAAAAACCCATACAGCTTTTCTGTCAATAACCTCGACGGGAAATAAGCCCACGGTCTGCCGCGACATTCGTTAAATTTATCAGGAAACGGAGCATCTGTGATGTTGTTTTTCAAATGATCTTCTCTCAAGCGTGATTTAGTTTGCTGGGTTAAAAATACTATCGTGATTTATGAATCGTCTTGAGATGATGAACGCCTCCTTTCCAGTTTCGCTACACTGTACACTCTAAAAAATGCTGGGTTAAAAAGGGACAAACCCAGCTATTGGGTTGTTTTGACCCAGCGGTTGGGTTGTTTTGACCTAGTTACTTCAGAAGCAGGAACATTATTATCTGAGTGAATGTGAAAACTAAATGATTTTGTTATATGCTGATATGGACAAAATGCTTACATTTGTATGTTTCTTTAAATATATAATTGAATTCTGTATCCATTTTAATGGATATATAATTGATTCAGAATTTCATTTTCGTTTCACCCATCACTGCGTGCTTTTTAAAATCATTACAAGCGATGTCGACATCCGAAAATGAAATGCTCTTTTGATCTGTTTTTTGTTATTGAATCGCTTGAACTGAATGATCGAAGTCACGAGTTTGAATCAATCGGAGCGGTTCCAGCGTAAATGACTCACTCAATTGATTCGGTTCGTTTACACGACACTGTCAATTTTCCATTCCAAAGATAACATTCAACACTAATCAACGAACATAGGTGAAGGTAACCGGTTTACTGCTAACTAGTGAAACACTCCGTTAATATGACGATCTGCAGCTCAAAATACATGTTAGATGGAAACATTGTGCATTATGATCACATTTGTAGCTTAATTCACTATATTTGAAATAGTTTGAGCTGCAGTTCAATCGGAAATCAGTTGAAAGCAAGCAGTCTCTCATACAATTGAAGTCAATGTTCAATTTATCAATTTATTTGAGACATTACTGTTGTATCTGATTGCATTAGTTTTTTATTTTTACATACTATTTGTGTATTTTATTTACACAAATGGATTCATTGATATGTGTGCATAATTTGTAACTCTTGGTTATGAAAAAAATGCTATAAAAAACTAGAATATGGCCCGTTTGTTGACCTCTTTCTTGGTGCATCTAATGAAAATACACCAGCGGACACTAACAGCTGTGCACACGAGCTCATTTAGCCGATTGGAGTTTGTCCCACTATTTCCTGTTTTGCGAATCTGACGGCATGTTTTGAAAGAGAAATGACTATTAATAGAGGTGGCGTGTGCAGATGGCTGAGATTTCCCTCCCCGCCGCGCTGCGGGAAAAAACACAACAAGCCAGCACTGTAAAGACACTTGAGAGCTGTCATTCTTCACAACGAGCATATTTAGTCTCTTCTGCGCCTTTGAAGCGACTCCTTTCCCAAACAGGGCCTGACGGGCTGTGCGGAAACGTTTGTGAATCAGTGGCGCGTCATCGAATGTTTTACTGTTTAAATGAATTCATAAAAAGCACATGTTTTGCATTAAGAAGTTGTGTATTTGCTTACATGCAACAGCTCTCCTAGCTAAAGCCAGGATTGACTCTCATCTGATGTTTCAGACTGTTGGTTTACATCTAGATGAGAAATGTGGCGCTGTATTGGAGGGGTTGTGTGAGCAGCACGCCGTCAACATTATAATCCTGCGGCAAACGGCAGTCAGAGTTTGCCTCAGAAATGTTGAAATGTGTTTCCTTTGGCTTCTGCGCAGATCCTGGATGTGCGTAACGTGCTGGTGGTGGTCTCTCGGTGGTACGGCGGGATCCTGCTGGGCCCCGACCGCTTCAAACACATCAACAACTGCGCCAGGAACATCCTCATTCAGGAGGGTTACACCGACACTTCAGTAAGACCCAAGACTGTTTATGAATAATTCAGCTTAAAGGCTTGTGTCCTGTGTATTTCATGATGCGTGACAAATTTCTGCATTTCTTCTGCTGATGTAGACAAAATGCTTATTTATTTAATTATAGGTTTTTGTATATTTAAATATGTATTACATGTATCTAAATATATCTTATTTATATGTATATTATTTGATAATTAAGTTTAGATACATACATAAATATTAAGTCCACAAAAACATTATATTTATGTAAAATAAATATTACTTAAAATAATACATTTTTAATTTTGCTGATGTGGAGAGAATGCTTAGATTTGTGTATTCATTTAAATATATAATTAAATCTCCCCAGAGCACAGTGAGATTCAGTGGAGAGCTTTGCTGATTCATAAACACTCTGGGACTTGACTTTGGGGCTTTTTTAAACACACACACATATATATATATATATATATATATATAATTAATAATAGTCACATAATATAAGTCATTCAAATAATTACTGATTAAACATTAAGAAATATATAATAAATATTAATTAAAATAAGTAGTGTTGTTAATACAATGCTTATGTTTGTGTATTTTAATATTTGCTTATTTATTTAAGCGTGGAATTAAAGCTAAATATATGTAACATATTATATAAAAATTATATGTAAACAAATTATGTGTATATATGTGACCCTGGACCACAAAACCAGTCATAAGGGTCAATTTTTCCGAAATTGAGATTCATAAATCATCTGAAAGCTGAATAAATAAGCTTTCCATTGATGTATGGCTTCATATCCTAATGATTTTTGGCAAAAAAGAAAAATGGATAATTTTGCCCCATACAATGTATTGTTGGCTATTGCTACAAATATACCCCAGCGACTTAAGACTGCTTTTGTGCTTCAGGGTCATGTTAATTAATATTTATTTATATATACGACACATTAATACATCTGAATATTAATTAAAATATTAATAAACTGATATTAACTAAAATAACTCATTAATAGACAAATGCATACAAAGTAATGTTAATTCAATTTTATCCACGTCAGAGGAATAATGCAGACATTCAAAAACCCAAGCATCGTGAAAGTCATTCGGTTCTTGTAATATCTTTTTATTAAATGGAAACAGTTCTGCCACAAGTCTCCTGTTGACGCGTTTGTTTTGTTCTTTCTGAGCTGTCGAGTACTAAATGCTCACTATTCCATATTTTGGTTGCGTCTGTGAGTCCGTATGGAGAGAAGCTCTCCTCCACTTACTCACCCCACAATCACAGTGATAAGGTCACACAGAAACAAGTTGTGAGGAGATTTAGACTTTGGACTTCTTCCGAGGATTCATTCGTTTGTTGTTTTCTTTCATTTCAGTGCAAATGAGGCCTCGTGCACAGCTGCGGGGCTGCTATGGTTACCCGGATAATAGGGGCGCGGCGTCATATCGCAGACATACAATTACACGCATGTGTGATATGATTGTTTAAGATTTTGCTAGAATTCATTACAGAAAGCTCGAGTCAATTAAAGCAGCATGTGTTTTTCATCACAGCAGCGTCGTCCGCTTTCTCCGCAGCTGAGGCTGTCACGATTCATGAGCGTGTTTTGAAATTAGTATCCGTTGCGCCGCGAGCCGTAACGGTGATTGGCGTTAAAAGCAGCTCCGCGCTGCACTTTTCTTCTTCTGCTTCTATTTTAAGCCAAGGTTGTCTGTAATTCCTTTGACAATGGACCGAATGAGTCTGTTTCCCAACTCAGCGGCCCCAAAAGTTGTTTACTTGACAATCTCGCACCACTAAAGAGACCTTTACGCAAAACTGTCGTAAAAGTCGTAATTACTGTCATTTGAGCATTTCGCTAATTACATTTTTGTTTTGTCATGCCACTCCAGAACTATAACGCATTAAAGTGAATGTAGAGCCAAACCTCTGCTTAAAAGCATTAGCCGTGGACAGAATGATTATATTTATTTAAACATAATTATATTATATTTCAATTATAATTGCTATATGCCTATATAATTTAATTAGTATTTATTTATACAAGTAATAAATTAATACATATACAAATATCTAAATAAATGTGAATTAAAATATGTAATACAGTAATAATATTAATAGAAAAAGAAAATGTGTGTGTATATAGTTTGGGATCAGAATGATTTTTTATGTTTTTACAGGAGTTTCTTCTGTTCATTAAGGCTGCATTTATTTGATCAAAAATACAGGAAAAAATTTTATATTGTGAAATATTATTATGATGTCAAATAACATTTTTTTATTTTAATATACATTAAAATCTAATTTATTCCTGTGATGCAAAGCTGTATTTTCTGCATCGTTACTCCAGTCTTCAGTGTCACATAATCTTCAGAAATCATAATAATATGCTGATTTATTATCAGTGCTGAAACTGTTGTGCTGCGTAATATTGTTTTGGAACCTGTGATACTTTTTTTCAGGATTCTTTGATGAATAAAAAGTTAAAAAGAAGAGCATTTATTTAAAATAGAAATCTTTTCTAACAATATACACTACAGTTCAAAAGTTTGGGGTCAGTACATTTTTATTCTTTCTTTTTTTTAAAGAAATTACAACTTTTATTCAGCAAGGATGTGATAAATTGTTAAGAAGTGATAGCAAATTTTTATATTGTTAGAAAAGATTTATATTTTGAATAAATGCTGTTCTTTTTAATTCATCAAAGAATCCTGAAAAAGTATTGCAGTTTACATAGAAAAAATACATAGAAAAATATTTGTTTTTACTTGAATATCTCGCACCACTAAAGAGACCTTTACAGCAGCCTGCCTGTTAAAGACTAGTGGGTCTTTTGTAAAAACACTAATTACTGTAATTTGAGCATTTGGCTAATTACAGTTTTATTTTATGCCACTTTAGAACTGTAACACAAAGTGAATGCACAGTCAAACCTCTGCTTAAACGCATTAGTCAAGAGATAAACGATCCATGCAATGCTAACCGTATTGAAACTCATTTAGAAACTCAAGAGTCCTTCTCGCTGCCATAATTTCCAGCCCATTTAGCATTGCATGCATATCGTAGTTCTTTATGTTCACATATTGGCTTGAAGAAGAACTCAGTAATGCGTATTGGTGATTCTTCACGAAGCGCGTGTTGAATTTGCTGTCTGATTGGAGCCGTCAGCTTGTATAGATTTCCCGACGCCGTGCATGTCTCAAGCTCAGATGCATCACGCTGTTCTTTCAGGGTGAAGATGAATGTTGTGTTATCTTCGCAGTTTGAGCCGGCTGACTCATTGTTCGCATTCTGTCCACTGCGGCTCAAGAGTAATTAACATAAAATGCATAATAACCACCACCGCCGCGCAGAGCAGCCAGGGTGCGAGCACGTCACGTGTGGAATAATAAAACCAGACTCCTTCCCAAACACTCATTTGGACACCATCGAGTCCCTAGAGACGCAGTCTAAATAATAAAAAACAGTCAGAGGAATTTTAACAAGCCTTCTGCTCTCCTGGTAAAAATGACAGTGACGTTATTTATGGCACAGTTGCTTTATATTGCATCAGGGAAATATGCAATATTTGATAAAAGTTATAACTCAAAGTCTTCTTGTTGCCTGATTGCTAAGGCATGGTGCTAGCAACGCACAAATTGGGTTTCAATTCCAATTCTCAAATGTACACTTTGAATGCTCACAGGCAATTGTTCACAGGACTATGAAGGAGTGGAAATTGTTTATTTTCATGGACGACTTTGCTTTTATTAAGGTATTTTTTCACTTAACCTGAAACACGCACGTATTTTAACGTCAGACCCTTCAGTTTAACCAAGTAAGTTCGTAATATGAATGTTTGATTACATCATTATTTTTTGATTATACAGTGGTGTGAAAAAGTGTTGGCCCCCTTCCTGATTTCTTATTTTTTTGCATGTTTGTCACGCTTTAATGTTTCAGATCATCAAACAAATTTAAATATTAGTAAAAGATAACACAAGTGAACACAACATGCAGTTTTTAAATGAAGGTTTTTATTATTAAGGGAAAACAAAACCCAAAACTACATGGCCCTGTGTGAAAAAGTGTTTGCCCCCTAAACCTAATAACTGGTTCGGCCACCCTTAGCAGCAACAACTGCAATCAAGCATTTGCGATAACTTGCAATGAGTCTGTTACAGCGCTGTGGAGGAATTTTGGTCCACTCATCTATGCAGAATTGTTGTAATTCAGCCACATTGGAGGGTTTTAGAGCATGAACCGCCTGTTTAAGGTCATGCCACAGCATCTCAATAGGATTCAGGTCAGGACTTTGACTAGGCCACTCCAAAGTCTTCATTTTGTTTTTCTTCAGCCATTCAGAGGTGGACTTGCTGGTGTGTTTTGGATCATTGTCCTGCTGCAGAACCCAAGTTCGCTTCAGCTTGAGGTCACGAACAGATGGCCGGACATTCTCCTTCAGGATTTTTTGGTAAACAGCAGAATTCATGGTTCCATTTATCACAGCAAGTCTTCCAGGTCCTGAAGCAGCAAAACAGCCCCAGACCATCACACTACCACCACCATATTTTACTGTTGGTATGATGTTCTTTTTCTGAAATGCAGTGTTACTTTTACGCCAGACGTAATGGGACACACACCTTCCAAAAAGTTCAACTTTTGTCTCGTCAGTCCACAGAGTATTTTCCCAAAAGTCTTGGGGATCATCAAGATGTTTTCTGGCAAAACTGAGACGAGCCTTTGTTCTTTTTGCTCAGCAGCGGTTTTCGTCTTGGAACTCTGCCATGCAGACCATTTTTGCCCAGTCTCTTTCTTATGGTGGAGTCATGAACACTGACCTTAACTGAGGCAAGTGAGGCCTGCAGTTCTTTGGATGTTGTTGTGGGGTCTTTTGTGACCTCTTGGATGAGTCGTCGCTGTGCTCTTGGGGTAATTTTGGTCGGCCGGCCACTCCTGGGAAGGTTCTCCACTGTTCCATGTTTTTGCCATTTGTGAATAATGGCTCTCACTGTGGTTCGCTGGAGTCCCAAAGCTTTAGAAATGGCTTTATAACCTTTTCCAGACTGATAGATCTCAATTACTTTCTTTCTCATTTGTTTCTGAATTTCTTTGGATCTCGGCATGATGTCTAGCTTTTGAGGATCTTTTGGTCTACTTCACTTTGTCAGGCAGGTCCTATTTAAGAGATTTCTTGATTGCGAACAGGTGTGGCAGTAATCAGGCCTGGGTGTGGCTAGAGAAATTGAACTCAGGTGTGATAAACCACAGTTTTAACAGGGGGGCAAACACTTCTTCACACAGGGCCATGTAGTTTTGGATTTTGTTTTCCCTTAATAATAAAAACCTTCATTTAAAAACTGCATGTTGTGTTCACTTGTGTTATCTTTTACTAATATTTAAATTTGTTTGATGATCTGAAACATTAAAGTGTGACAAACATGCAAAGAAAATAAGAAATCAGGAAGGGGGCCAACACTTTTTCACACCACTGTATTTATATAATATTTAATCAAATAGACGTTGGCTTCACGTTCATCCAACACTCGCTTCAAAAACAATGAGAACTAATCTCACAGATACTTGATATCCACACTGGCATTTTTTATGTGGTGCCCATATGACAAGATAAATAAATAATGAAATATCAGATAATTTACTAATAAAGAAGAATATTGCAAAAATATTGTTCCGCACTGTAATGTAGCTCAACAAAGGCTTAAAGGGTTAGTTCACCCAAAAATGAAAATTAGCCCATAAATTACTTACACCGAGGCATGCTAGGTGTATATGACTTTCTTCTTTCAGACAAATACAATCGGAGTTATATTAAAAAAACATCCTGGCTATTCCAAGCTTTATAATGGCAGTGAATGGGTGTTGAGATTTTGAAGACCAAAAAATGCATCCGTCATAGGCCTCTTGAAGCAAATTGATGCATTTGTGTAAGAATAATATCCATATTTAAAACGTTATAAACCATAATCTCTAGCTACCGCTAACTGTCATACGCACGTTCACGAGAGATGGCGTAGGATGTAGGTGTAGCGTAAACTCTGGTGAGAATATGCTAGTCTCACAAGAACCAAGTTTTGTTTACAGCAAAGGAAAACCAGTCTCCTCTTGGCTTATATCGAAATCCTCTGACGTTTTTCTTTACAGATCCTCGTTTTGTACTTCTAATTCCTGACCAGAATTCTCTTCCGTGAATGTGCGTGCAACAGTTAGCGGAAGCTAGAGATTACGGTTTATAAAGTTTTACATATGGATATTTTTCTTAAATGATTCACTTCAGAAGGCCTTTATTAACCCCCATGAGCCACATGGAGTAATTTTATGATGGATGGATGGACGCAGTTTTTGGGCTTCAAAATCTCTGCCCCCATTCACTGCCATTATTAAGCTTGGACATTTTTAATACATCTCTGATTGTATTCGTCTGAACGAATAAAGTCATATACACCTAGGATGGCTTGAGGGTGAGTAAATCATTCATACTTCTTTTCCCCCTTGATCTGGGTTTTTGTCTCAAATTTTGAACATTCATCTGCGACCGCAAATTTCAGACCGTTATTGACAGCACAGCCTAACACTGTTCTAATTAACTGTAGTAATTTAAGACTGAACGGATGTTTTTGACATTATTATAGATTTTTCTTTTTCTTCCGGCAGGAAGATCTTCATTTCAGCTTTACTTTTCACCAGTCTTATCACTTGTCTTTTATGTTTTCCCTTTCAGGAGGAAACATCCAAAGCTGGAGGCAAGAACAAAAGACCTAAGGGCAAGAAGGCAAAATAAAAAACCTTCCTGGAACAGATGAGACCTGGAATGAAGACTTGCGACTACGAATGCTGAAGGATTCTGACAAATAAAATAACCTGAAAATGCTGTATTACTGTATTCAGTGTTATAGTCAGGGTTAAACAACTTGAAAGTCATACCAAAAATGGTTTTGTATGCAGTTGAGTTTAATGGTCTGTTGCTACGCATTGTCACACTAAGTGCTTTGTCTTATGAATAAAGATTTTATGAATTACAAATTGATTTGCAAATGAGGGTTTGAGGCTTGCCTGAAGTCACAAGGACAAACGAGTGCGAAACAGGTAATAAATACCCCTGACACTCATCAGCGACCTTTGATCCTTTTTCCGGTTTAATGATGCTCTAATAATGTAATTTGATAAAGCCTGACAAAAGCAATTTGAGGAGCGTCATACCAAAACGTCCGTTTAAGGAGACTTTTTACGGCAAATATCAGACACTGAAAGTGCATGAGATTGTCAAACGTCTATTATTTAGTCCCATGGAGAGTCGCTCTCCAATATTGCATTTTCGCTCATACTTAACCTTTTGAATATTGCTATTCCAAGCTTTATAATGGCAGTGAATGGGTGTTGAGATTTTGAAGACCAAAAAATGCATCCGTCATAGGCCTCTTGAAGCAAATTGATGCATTTGTGTAAGAATAATATCCATATTTAAAACGTTATAAACCATAATCTCTAGCTACCGCTAACTGTCATACGCACGTTCACGAGAGATGGCGTAGGATGTAGGTGTAGCGTAAACTCTGGTGAGAATATGCTAGTCTCACAAGAACCAAGTTTTGTTTACAGCAAAGGAAAACCAGTCTCCTCTTGGCTTATATCGAAATCCTCTGACGTTTTTCTTTACAGATCCTCGTTTTGTACTTCTAATTCCTGACCAGAATTCTCTTCCGTGAATGTGCGTGCAACAGTTAGCGGAAGCTAGAGATTACGGTTTATAAAGTTTTACATATGGATATTTTTCTTAAATGATTCACTTCAGAAGGCCTTTATTAACCCCCATGAGCCACATGGAGTAATTTTATGATGGATGGATGGACGCAGTTTTTGGGCTTCAAAATCTCTGCCCCCATTCACTGCCATTATTAAGCTTGGACATTTTTAATACATCTCTGATTGTATTCGTCTGAACGAATAAAGTCATATACACCTAGGATGGCTTGAGGGTGAGTAAATCATTCATACTTCTTTTCCCCCTTGATCTGGGTTTTTGTCTCAAATTTTGAACATTCATCTGCGACCGCAAATTTCAGACCGTTATTGACAGCACAGCCTAACACTGTTCTAATTAACTGTAGTAATTTAAGACTGAACGGATGTTTTTGACATTATTATAGATTTTTCTTTTTCTTCCGGCAGGAAGATCTTCATTTCAGCTTTACTTTTCACCAGTCTTATCACTTGTCTTTTATGTTTTCCCTTTCAGGAGGAAACATCCAAAGCTGGAGGCAAGAACAAAAGACCTAAGGGCAAGAAGGCAAAATAAAAAACCTTCCTGGAACAGATGAGACCTGGAATGAAGACTTGCGACTACGAATGCTGAAGGATTCTGACAAATAAAATAACCTGAAAATGCTGTATTACTGTATTCAGTGTTATAGTCAGGGTTAAACAACTTGAAAGTCATACCAAAAATGGTTTTGTATGCAGTTGAGTTTAATGGTCTGTTGCTACGCATTGTCACACTAAGTGCTTTGTCTTATGAATAAAGATTTTATGAATTACAAATTGATTTGCAAATGAGGGTTTGAGGCTTGCCTGAAGTCACAAGGACAAACGAGTGCGAAACAGGTAATAAATACCCCTGACACTCATCAGCGACCTTTGATCCTTTTTCCGGTTTAATGATGCTCTAATAATGTAATTTGATAAAGCCTGACAAAAGCAATTTGAGGAGCGTCATACCAAAACGTCCGTTTAAGGAGACTTTTTACGGCAAATATCAGACACTGAAAGTGCATGAGATTGTCAAACGTCTATTATTTAGTCCCATGGAGAGTCGCTCTCCAATATTGCATTTTCGCTCATACTTAACCTTTTGAATATTGCATGCTATTTTTACCATTCAAACTTTGCAGGGCCAAAGTCCACCGCCACCTGGTGAGTTTGCAGCGCTATGACTCGCATGCTAATTGTCCTTAATGAGCTCATGTGAGAATAACTTGATCCTTTTGGCGCATGATGTTCAAATAAGCAGATGCTAGGTCACGGGAGAACCATCTGAATACCAAGTTGGAATTGCAGGCACTTGCGTGACGGTTTGGTGGCGTGTCTCGGAAAGCAACTAGTTGGTTTGCGTACTAGCGTCCCTGAATGATTTGAAGTCTTTGCTCAACCTGTGGAGCTCAGAATGGTTCGCGACCGGTGAATTCTTCTGTGGGAATGAGTCATCCAGAAAAGGTACTCGAGTGCTTTTTGACGTCTCCGCTCTTTCTCTAAGGCGCACACACATATCGTTGCTGTCTTCCTTCTTAAATACCTTTGGGTCTTTGACATTCTGGCCTCTTTCCTGTCTGCAGCGCTAGTCTTAGTCTTCTCACTTTCATCCTCCCTGCATGCATCTATTCCCTTTTCTCTGGACTATTCTTTCATGCCTGCCTCTCGGTCTCTCTCCCTGTGTTCCCACTCTATTTCCTTTCAATGAATATTAACGGATCTTTTGACCATCAGCTCCTACCCTTTCAGATTCAATTGCTTGCTTCGACTCAAGGGGCATTGCTAAATGCTTTGGTGGTCTTTTGCTTGTGACATGTTTTCTGTGTATAAGTCTAAATCTGCCTTGCATGCCAAACTGTTTGGCACCTCATCTTTGCCCTGAAAAATCTTTTATTTGGTCTACAGAGTCATGGCAGCAAATGTGAAAACTGTTTTCCCAAAGGATGAATCTCAGCTAATAGTTTCTGGCAAGGAATCAAGCTTCTCTGCAAATAATGGTGCTGTGCATCGATACATTAAATTGACTAAAACAACTTGCTAATTGTTCATTTGACTACCCAACAGTCTCGTCTCGTCTCAACTGTACCCAACAGATCCCTTTTATTTTGGGCCAGAGTATCACATTAGTGTTGATGGTGAGGAATTGCGCTATATATGGATAGAAATACCCTTTTTAATACACTTTTTAAAGTAACGAAAATAGATCTGTGACCATGTTAATTGCCAATTAAAAGTACAAACAGTTCTTGGAGAAAAAAAAAATCTGTTATGGTATGCAAATAACTGCGCCTTCGAATTCTGCAGAAGAATCAAGCTAATCTTTGGTTCAAATAATTGTAATGCTGTGTTTCGGCAGCCTAAACCATATCTCCAACAAGCTAACCATTGATTTGACTGGACAAAATTTGCTCAGGGCCTGTTGGCCACCTCATCTTTGCCCTGAGTGATGGACGTCTTTTATTTGGTCTACAGAATCATGGCAGCAAATGTGAAAACTGTTTCCCCAAAGTACGACTCTCTAATATAGTTTCTGGCGAGGAATCAAGCTTCTCTGCAAAGAACTTTGCAGTACATCAGTAAATACTTTTTTTAAGTTGACCAAAGCAAGATGCTAACATGTCTATTTGACCCCCCATTAGTCTGAACAAAAATCTGAACTGTAACCAACAGATCTCTCTTATTTTGGGCGACAGTATCACACTGGTGTAGATGACATCTGGTGAGGAATTGTGCTATATATATATGGATAGAAATATCTCCTACTCAAGACAATACCATGCTCTTTTTAAAGTGACAAATAGATCTGTGATATGCTAATTGGCAATTAGATGTCCAAACAGTTCTTGTAGAAAAGATTTGTTATGATATGCAAGGATAACTGCGCCTTCGATTTCTGCAGAACAATCAAGCTGTGTTTCGGCAGCCTAAACCATAACTCCAGCAAGCTAACCATTGATTTTGACTGGACAAAACTCGCTCAAGGCCAGTCTGGCAGCTCATCTTTGCCCTGGGTAATGGACGTCTTTATTTGGTCTACACAGAATCACGCCAGCAAATGTGAAAACTGTTTTCCCAAAGGATGACTCTCGGCTAATATTGTTTCTCATATGACTTTTAATAAAAGTCCCTCGGTGTACAAGTGCCAGTCAGCTTTTTGTTCAGAATCAGGTGCCTATGTTATGTGCTGTTATCAGAAACTTTGTGTATAAATTTATAAAGCGACTTGAGGCCTCTACAAATGAAATTATTGTGATCCTGGAGAAGAGTACTGTTAGGTACACCTCTGCACTTTGGAGGCACTGGAGAAAGTGCTTATATGGACCTTAGATGTAATGAGGAATCAAGCTTCTTTGCAAATAACTGTGCAGTAAAGAAAACGCAATGCTGTGCGTTGATCCTGTAAATTGATTAAACCAACATGCTAATTGTTTATTTGACCACCCAACGGTCTAAACAAATCTCATCTGAACTATAACCAGCAGATCTCTTTTACTTTGGGCCACAGAATCATGTTAGTGTAAATGACATCTGGTGAGGAATTGCGCTATATTTGGATGGAAATAACTCCACAATAGATCAGACAATGCCATGCCGTGCATTGGCACTTTTAAAATTGTCGAAGCCAAATATGTGACATGAAAATTGCCAATTTGATGGCTAAAAAGTTTGCTTTGGAGTTTTATTGTGACATGCGAAGATTCATTTCTGCCAAAGAATTGTTTTTTTCTTTGGTACAGATAGTTGGACTGTACAATTGAACATGCAGTGCTGTGTTTTGCCAGCCTAAAATGTATCTCCAACATGCTAATTATTGATTTGACTGGGCAAAACTTGCTCAAGGATTGTTTGGCTTCTTATCAATGCTCCAACTAACCAATGTCTCCACAATTCTTTCTACCACAGCAAGCAGAGTTTACCCAAAGGACAACTCTATCACATACTACTAATGCCATGTCAGAAAAAATTCAAGCTAACCTTAACTACAAATATCTTTACAGTGCGTTAGAAAATACCATGCTTTACGACATGCTAATCGTCCATTTGATGCAACCCACTGTGAGAGTAAATGCAATATTTAACTTCACATCTGGACTTGACCAGATAATATCCCTCCAAACATAGACACCAAGAGAGAACCATTAGCATTGCATGAAAGTGGCTAATTTGCATGGTGGATAAGAAACCCTTCCCTTTTGCATCCTGGCTGACAACAGTATCAATGAATAATATTAATCGTGGGAGAAATCAAATCAGCACATTAGCTGTCCTCCGTTGAGGCCTTGAGGAGCAAGAAGACAGAGCAGAATGGTAATTCATGTTGTTTTATCGTCTCAAGTGGCTTTGGGAGATGGCCGTTGTTGTTTGTTTAAATAAGGGTCAGGCCTCTTCATCTCTGGAGATCAAACATCAGAAGAGGGTGCAGCCGAAAGCTTGTTTCATAAGAGTCTCTCCTACTTCTTTAGAAGGTGATAGAGCAGATCCCTGTTGAAATGAGCTGTAGCTCTCGCTCTGGGCCTTTGGAATACGCGGAATTCTGCTTCCGCTGCAAGAATAATACAACAAAGAACTTGATTGCACTTAGCCTCTTTCCATGTTATCTTCTTCTGGCACCTGCCTCTATGTTTTTAGTCCAAATGCTTTAATGTTTGAAATCCCTGCTCATTAGCAACATGAAATGTGGCAACCTGAAACAAGACTATGAAGGCTTTAACCCTTTCAATACCACAACTCGCTAGAGAAAAAGGTGAAATGAAAGCTTTTATTCTTTAGAATAATATGCATCAATCAAATAGCATCCGTTTTGATCTCATGTTGACTTTTAAGTCTTTAAACTTGTTGGACACTTGTGTCAGGTTTGGCAGAGAGATCTTCCGGGAATGAGATGTTTCACTGTGCTTTTATAGCATTTGTTTCACGTTTTAACAACACACTTAAGCTAATCGAATCGCTCCCCAGCCTCTCAAGTGACCCTCTTTGGAAGTGATTGGTATCACTGTGGGGCGCCTAGACAAGAAATCCTGGGTTAAGAGCCCAGGGGTTAATTAGCACTTCATAATTAAAGTAGAAAGACACATTTAAAAGGGTTTTAGACAGAATTTAACTGCACAACTGCTGGAACTAATGGAAGTTAAAGGAGCTGCGCCATGCAGTGCCGCTAAATTGGATTTTACAGATGCACCATTATTTCAGTATCAATGTCATGCACGTGTGTGTGAAATGCAGGGGCAAAGTGTCTGCTATCGTCTTGCTCTGGTGCACAGCTGAGGAAGAGCACACAGGGCTAAAGTCGGTCTTTTGTGTCAGTAGGGAAATGACTCACGCGGGAAAAGAAGACCACATCTCTGACAGCGAGTGTAATTAAGATTTTTTAAACCTAGAACACAGCCTTTAGGAAGAGGAGGCGTACTGTACATGGTGTGCAATTTAAAACCTAAAAGTGCAATTAGGATGTTTATTTGTCATGCCTTTAACGTCATGTACTCGGCTGATTGAGGCATTAACATTTTCTTTTTTTCCCTAAATGCTTGAATTTAGTCTCTTTTTTTCATCATCCCTCATAAAAGGCGACATAGTATGTAATGTAGTTGAGGCACAGCCACTGGGTAGGGAAGGAATGCTTTGAAGAAGAAAACCTGCCTGAGCTTTGCCTTGAGTGGATGGCAGTAGCTGCTGTCCATGGTTCTGAAACCACTGGACAGTACCAGAGCACTAATACACTAACAGGATTCCTGTTGGAATTTCTGTCATCATTCAAAGCCAGTCCTAAAGAATGGGGAGGGGAATTGGTTCATAGGATTTTAGCATAACACAAAAACTAGATCTTTTAAAACACAGGAGTGCCTTACTTTAATCTGCAGAACACAAAAGAAGATATTTTGAAGACTGATGGGGTTCAAATGAGATTGGACCCCATTGGCAAAAACACAGAGACATTTCTCAAAATATCTTATTTGTTATGCAGAAGAAAGAGGAATAGATTTAAATGACATGAGTAAATTATTTGAATTTTGGGCCAATGTAAACACATTCATAATGAGTATCTCTGTTATTTTCTCTAAAAATGTCTAAACATTCATAAAACGCAATAAAATACTTATTGATTCCGTTTTCAGATGATGTATAAATCTCAATTTCAAAAAATTGTCCCCTATGACTGGTTTTGTGGTTCAGGGTCAGTCACAATTATATTCAAGATAGACTATCTGAAAACAACTTATACTGTCTTTGCTTTTTAAGTAAATTTATGTTGATTCTCAATGCATGGGTCATTCATATGTTTATAACAACTATTCAAGCAGAGCAATATACATAATCACACTGTGTGATTGTATAAAAATAATATTCTCTGTACTTGGACAAATGCAGGTTCATTGCACTGTATGCAGTTCTGGATATCATACTTCAACCAGATCCTCACAAAGGTAAGTTGCAAAGTGGACCGCGTACATCTCGTATCTGTCTGAGGACCGCGCGCAATCCAACGGGAGGCGCGAGAGCGCAACAGTTGATGTGCGCGCATGACGGGAAAGCGCTATTCTGTTGGAAAATCGTAGAGCACAAACTTTGCGTTCAGTCTCAGTGCAAGGACTTGGAGTTCCCCTCAGGAAGGAGTCATTTCATGTCATGCGTTTCTGGTATTGCACTGGACACTTCAAAGATGCACGCACTCCTCATGCGTTTGGAGACTCCAACTGGATGCGTATTCCGCCGCGCGCTGAAGTTAACGCAACCCTAAAGGGATGAAAACTCTGCTGTCATCATCGTCAGCGGGAAAAGGTTCACATGATGACTTCAGACCTGTTGCTGGTTCTCCAAATGTCCTCGATCTGACAATGGTTAACTGCTTCAATTCCTCTAGCTCCAACAGCACGACCGTCAGCTCGGATGGGGCTCCGTTCCCAGGGTACACGATGGTCATTCTGGCAATCCTCATGATAACGCTGGTGGTCGTGGTGGTGGTCGGGAACGCGTTGGTTATTCTCGCGTTCGTCGTGGACAAGAGCCTCAGAAATCAATGCAATTACTTCTTCCTTAATTTGGCTATATCGGACTTCCTTGTTGGTATGTAAACGTGCATTTTAATTAACTTCAACTCAAAATGCTTCATATGCGCCTGTTTTTGCATTGCAATTGTGCATGTGAATATAAGATATTACATCTCTTAAAAATGATCTGCATGTCCTCGAGCAATGGGGGAACCCCTTTGTTCTACAGGATCAAAGCCTTCTGGAAATCCTATATATTGTACATCTGATGAGATCTGTGGGAATATTGGCTTTGATAGACACCCAGAAAAGTTACATAGATTAGGCTACACCTTACTCGATAAAACACGTAAGTGTAGCTGATGAGTAATGCCGGTGTAGTGCCGAAATTTGCACCCTACCAGATTATGCACCCCCTAGTATTGGTAGGTTTAGGAGTAGGTGTGGGGGAGGGGTTAGGATTAGGCAATCAGGTAGCGACTTCAACGAGGGGGTGCATAATCTGGCAGGGGTGCAGAATTCGGCACAACACCGGATCGATCAAACAGATGTACTGGATATGCAACAGAGAGATCGATGCCAATCTAGAGTGCAGCGTGGCTGATGTGTACATAATGAAATTTAATAACAGCAAATATGCACAACATTTTTGAAATGAAGTGTTTGATTTTGCACAATAAGTAATTAATATGATACATATACAACCAAGTTATCATTCAGTGTTGATAATCTCAAAATGGTCAACAATGGCCAATATATTGGTCTAGGTATTGTGTATTGCTTTCTTGCTCAGTTTTGCAAGTCAGTACTCATTAGCATGGCCTGTTGCCAAATGATAAATGTAAATTATTGTAGCTGTGCTCACTTTTAGAGTGTATGTCTGTTCATAAACCTGATTACACATGATTTGCAAAGATGAGTGAATTATTACATAAACCACATTTCTCCGGTTTTGTCTGCTCTGACCTCATCTTGAAAACCAGGAGAGCGATTAGACCACTCCCAACAGCAACCACAACAAAAGTTAATTTTCTCCAAGGAATACAAAACCAGTAGGTCAAACCTCTCAAATCCACAGAAATGGTCCTGCATCGTTATTTTCCAATTCCGACATTATTTGCATTGGTCTAATTTTCTTTTTGCTTGTGAATTGTGAGTAGATATAGGGTGAAATAAGTGTTTCCCAAATTTCCCAACATTTTTATCATTTCCAGTAATTGAAAGTGAATGGGGATCCAGGTTGTCAAGCTCTGAGCTTAACTATTTTTATCAGTAATTTTCAGTATTGCATATATACAGTATGTATTAAAGGGGTCATATGACGTTGCTAAAAAGAACATTATTTTGTGTATTTGGTGTAATGCAATGTGTTTATGCGGTTTACGGTTCAAAAAACACATTATTTTCCACATACTGTACATTATTGTTTCTCCTCTATGCCCCGCCTTTCTGAAACGCCTTTCGATTTTTACAAAGCTCATCGGTCTAAAAAGCGAGGTGTGCTCTGATTGGCCAGCTATCCAGTGCATTGTGATTGGCCGAATACCTCAAGCGTGTGACAGAAATGTTACGCCCCTTACCATACTGTGATGCCGTGTCCTGGCGCGACGAGACAAAACCAATAAAACCCATTACAAACGAGGCATTTGTTGCATCCAGTGGGGGACATAATTACTGATTATAATGACTTATCCTGTCTTTTTACGCGTTGCATTGCATATCACGCCGTGTAAACATAAAACCATGTTTGCATTTGTGATTGGAGAAAGGACAAACAAGCGCTACTCTACACTGCTCAAAACTCGCGTTTGATTAGTCAGTGGCAAATTCTTTAAATATAAAAACATACTTACAGGCTGTGAGACAGAGCGCCAGACTATCCTTGCAAAGTTGGAATTGCCCCACTTTATAGAAACAGACACCGGCATTGTAGGCTACTCTCCCAGGATCAGGAAACAGTCCTCCATAAAATGCGCTGCACACACTCTAATATTTGCGTTGCACTGTTCTGGAACAGTGTTGTAAATACAACTTAACCACTGATTTCTAGTTGTGTCCTCTTTTGGAAGACCAAACAAAGTAGTTTTGCTTTCACAATGAAACGCACAGCTTCTCCACGACATGGCGGCGGCGGCGGCAACAATACTACAGTGAGAATCAAAGTTACCTCTTTCTTTGCGTGAACATTTGGGCGGTGTTATGCAAATCTTCCCAAACAGTGACATAGACATGTGGGGGCGTGTTTAAACGAGGCATTTTAGGAGGGCGTGGACTAGTCTTAACTTTTATAAAGAATATCTCTTTGGGTTTGAGACTTTAGTCTTTTAAACTTTAGGGATCTTATCTATTCACTAACAGCTTGTAACACTCCAAAGATAAAGGAAAACTTGAAATCGCATCATATGACCCCTTTAACAGGTGACGCTTTTCTGCTTCATCCACTATATGGACGAAGACTCAAATTTCCCAATGAGCCATACATTTTGTCTTTTATTTTTAGACCATATTCTTGTCATGCTTTCTTAGCAAAGCAGGTTCTGAGGTGGAAAAAGGAATGATTACATCCATTCATCTGCAGTACCAAGACAGAGACCTTTAGTTCTCTGCTGCTCTGTGGTGCGCTGGCACCATAAATTATTGGCTTGGATTAAGAGTGCATTAAGAAACGAGATCCTATCTGCGGTTCATTTCAAGATCCGCACGGCCTCGTGGTCTATTCACCAAACCCTCTCTGCCTGCTTGAGTGTTTATTTGCGGCTCACAGACATTAGTGCTCAGCCGATGTAGTGCTCAGTGGAAGTTCTTTGAAAAAAAATAATAAAACAACTTGGTTTGAGAGATAGGAGGTGGCGCTCTACCTGAAAACGTGCCCACGTAGTTTAGATAAACAAAGTGCAACAAAGCGTTGCTTTTTTTCCTCAGATGCCAACTAGCTCAAAAGCTCTAAATAATAGAGCCATGGCTGTGTATTTGACAGTATGATAGATGAGAAATCTCAGCGTCCTTCAAGGACTAGGCAGTGATGAGATTGCTGTTTTGTATGGCTTTGTGTAAAAGCTTTCTCTTGATGCTTCTAGGTGCGGAAAAGCAAGAGAAAGAGGTAGAGAGCTCAGAAAGCAGTCACGGTTCCCTTTGCAGCTCGATGGCTTTTTGATAATAGCTCAGGTTTATCGGTCACATTGTGAAGCGACTCCTTCGTGACATGATCCATTGATTTTGTGCTCTGAAGGGCCTATTATATCTGGTCCAGGAGAAGCGTGTGGCCATTGATACCAGCCGAGGGCTGTATATAATACAGTAAAATTTGATGTGTCTCTCTCTTTCCAGGGGCTTTTTGCATCCCGGTCTATATGCCCTATATCTTGACGGGCAGGTGGATGCTGGGCCGTGGACTCTGCAAGCTGTGGCTTGTGATGGACTACTTGTTGTGCACGGCTTCCGTCTTCAATATCGTCTTAATCAGCTACGATCGCTTCCTGTCCGTTACCCGAGCTGTAAGTATCAACATCCAATCAGTCTACTTAAAGTAATAGTCAGTAAATGCCAGTCCAAACTTGCATGTTATGTTTTCAGTGGAGCACAAAATAAGAAATGTTATTGTACTGGCTACTGCTTTCCAGAAATTGAAAGTGCAGCGTTGTCAAGCTCCAGACGTTAGATTAGATTGGACTATTTTTAACAGGACTCTTCAGTATTGCATTAAATATATTTCAATCATGACAACTCTCGGAACATTTTAGCATGGTGATGGATATGACAATGTTAATGTATTTGGTCTTGGCGGAACAGATCTGCTACGCTGCTGCTGAATTGCTGCTGCTGTTGAATAATGCACAGAAAACAGAGTGAAAACCGTTTACTTATCTTAGCTGTTGAGTTTCAGAGTAACTCTGAAAGCGCGCTGCAGGAATCTCAAGTGAATGCTAGCCAGCCATATAAACGCAAGGTAGTAAGCTCATTGGCTGCATATGTAGCATGAACCAATCAGCTTGTGCCAAGTCATTTAACTCTCTGAATATCATCAGTTACGTTAACACCCCGTCAGAATGCGCCATATAGAGTTTCATGACTGAACTATATTTCAGTCATTTTTCTTGCTTCGTCTACCATACGGGGTTTATGTTGTCTCAACACAATGCATTCTGGCATATCTGTTCTTCCAAAGACAAAATCTTAGTAGTTTTTCATCAAAATAGACCAAAAATCAACCAACCTCTGCTTTCCAACCACCTGCCTTACACAAACATTTCTCAATCCACAATCAATTTCTTTGTGAGTTGTGTAAACATCTCATTTGTTTCAAAGAGAAATTTGCAGTACATCATCTGAGACACAAAGCAAAACTTGTAAGCAATTGCAATATTCAGTGTTTGCAACCCATTTTTTTTGTCCATAATGTCAGAAATATTTTATGTTCTTCAAATATTCCAATGGTTGTCTCCCACAAATGCATACAAACCAAGTTTTCGCTTGGTGCCTCAGATGATGCACTGCGCATTTCTCTTTTGTCTGAAACAAATGAGTTGTTCACAAATCCCACAAGACACTGAAGACAGTGTTATTGCAATCAGATGAATAATAAGCGAATGACTTGCTGCCCCGGCGACAGATATTAGATAAGAGCGGCCCACCAGACGGATGAAGCTCGCATCCTCTGTGGATCCAGCGTTCAACTGCTCTATGGTGATGAATTGTTTTAGTGCAATTTACTGCAAATGTCCGCTATGTTAGTCACGGACGGCATCATCAATTTATATTCATACTTCATAGTGAGTCAACCTTAAGACCAGTGGGTTATTAAAAATCCAAACTTGGGCTCTGTTCCAAAACCAGTTGAGCTGCCTTGCTGTCTTTATCCCAACTGAAATGAACCTCATAAATGACCAATTTTGAACGTTTTAGAGTATATACACTTCAAAATAAAGGTTACAAAGGAAGGTTTTCACAGCAATGCCATAAAAGATCCACTTTAGGTTCTCCAAAGAACCTTTCAGTGAACAGTTCTTAAAAGAGCAATTCTTTCTTATAGTAAAGAACATTTGAATCATCTAAAGAAGCCTTTGTGGAATGGAATGTTTCCATTGATGTTAAAGGGATAGTTCACCCAAAAATGAAAATTCTGTCATTAATTACTCACCCTCATGTCGTTCCAAACCCATAAGACCTTCGTTCATCTGCAGAAAACAAATTAAGATATTTTTGCTGAAATCCGATAGCTTTCTAACCCTCCATAGACAGCAAGAGAACCCGGAAGAGAACAAATCGTTGAATAAAGTCATAATTTTTGTTTTCTTTGCGCATTAAAGTATTCTTGTAGCTTCATAAAATTACGGTTGAACCACTGATGTCACATGGACTATTTTAACGATGTTCTTACTACCTTTCTGGGCCTTGAATGTAGTAGTTCCCTTGTTGTCTATGCAGGGTCAGAAAGCTCTCAGATCTCATCAAAAACAATTTCATCAAAAATATCTTAATTTGTGTTCCAAAGAGGAATGAAGGTCTTATTGGTTTGGAACGACATGAGGACGAGTAATTAATGACAGAATTTTCATTTTTGGGTGAACTAACCCTTTAAAGATTCTTCATGAAACCACTGATGCCAATAAAGAGCCTTTATTTTTAAGAGTTTATGAAAGGCTGCCATAGAATTTGGCCGATTCATTACAGTATAATTATGCTTCCTATCTTTTGCGTCAGAAGTGCACAGACAATGCCTTAAACTGCTTCCTACATGGGTAGCTCACTAGAAGATGGGTTTGTTTTGTAACGAATGTAAAAAGCACAGGAAGTACTTTTTGGTCCTGTATTGCACTGCACCGCTGTATTGTTGCATAAGTGTTTTTTAAGTGTCCCTCTCAGTCGTTCTAGTGGCTTGACTGAATTCTGGTTAATGACTGGCATGCTACAGACAGCTATTTTGGACATGCAGGCAGCTGCCCAGTGATTCTGTGGGGCTGTAATGATTCACGGGGAGCGACCATAACAAGGCTGCCCCCTCTCCTGACCTTTACATCCTGAGAGAGGGCTCTGATGAAAACCACACGGCTAAAAGTCATGTCTAAAATAGGCACCTACCCACCAAAATGGCTACTGTAAGGAAACCACATATATGTGTCTCTGGGTTACAGTTTAGTTGTTGATCTGAAGAGGGTTACCCAGGTAAAAATAAAGTATACTTGAATGCACTAAACAATACTTAAGTACAAGCAAGTACATTTGTGCTAAATAAAATTGTGAAAGTTATACACTATACACTAATTAAAAGTATATTTCTACTTCAGTAGTACTTCAGTGCACTTGAAAAAGTATACTAAATACCACTGATATTTAAATAGATTTTTAGTGCATCGAAATAAAGTATACTACTGCAAAAATCTACAGAGGAGTTTTATTAGTGTATTTCTTAAGTGTGCTCTAAATGCTTTAAAAATTGTTCATCTTAGTAGACTTTTATATAGTAATCAAACGTTTAAATTAAACTGATTTTATTAAAAATATATTACTAATGTACTAGTTATAAGTACATTTTCCCAACTGTGGTACTTAAGTATACTTAATATAAATGCACTAATTGATTTTAAGTGTAGTAAGATATAGTACACCAAATATACAGAAGTGTTTATGATGAGTATATTCAAAAGATGGGTTCAAGTGTACTACAAGTGGTAACTAAATACATTTTTAATACAGAGATAGTATGTTAAAAGCGCATTTTAGTTCATATTCATGGTGTCTCAAAATAGCACAGTTGAGTACACTTAGATGTTCTTAAGATTAGCTTAAGTGTATTTTAGTGCACTTTTTTCGCCTGGCTTGAAGAGTAAAACCGAAAGCAGACATGCTACTAACTTAACTATCTTTTTCAGTGCCAAGCTACTTTATCCAAAGTCACTATTTTATGTCCGTAATTTGAGTAAGTAATCAAATATGCGCTTCTATCTCTCTCAGATATAGCACTGGCAAGACGTTATAGTGAATCGGTTCATTCGGATGTAAAAGTGTAAATTTATCTGTCCAAGTTTAATGCTGTCACTTTAATCAAGATTCATTCATTCAAATCCATCGTTTTTGAGCGAGATAAATACTGCTCTGATTAAATTGTTAATTATATAGTCTTAAAGTTATATATTTGGAAAATATCACCCGTTTGAATTGCTTTAATGTACTTGTCTGCTTTTTGTTCGTAGCTTGTTGTGTATCGAACTGGTTTTTAAGGAGTAGCTGCCCATCGATTAACTACTTTAAATCATGAGTTGCTTGTACAGTTTTAAAGTAGCTGGATCTGAAGTGGCTGTCAGCTTTGACAACCACGTGGCTGCACACCAGCTCTTCTGGTGAAATCATAAAAGGAAGGAAGGGGAAGGAAGTTCAGTATTTTTTTCCATTCAGTGTGTGCATTTATCTCCATTGCAAACAGTGAAACGATGTTGAATTTGGGTTCTTGAGGTCCTTAAATAACCTCTCTTCACATTCAACTAAACTGTTGAGCAAAATAAGCTCAGAAAACATGGGAACGATGCCTTACTGTGAAAGACGAATGCGTTAAAGCCCATTTCCCAGTCCTTAAAACAGCTTTTGACTTTCCAGAGCAGGGTTTGGGCAAATTATGAAACGCAAATATTGATTTCCTGTGGAAAATATAGTATCAAAATTGTTAAGAAACATTAAGGAATAGATATGCGCTACAATAACAAATTTACAAGATCTTGCAGATGTGTTGAAAGGTAATTTAGCTGCTTGTGACTGAATGTCTGGAGCATAACTTTTAATAGATTATGCAACGACATCTCAGCAGTTTATTCCGCCGTGGCTTCATGCATAATGTATTAAAATCTGCATATTTTGCGAATACATTTCTTATCCAGCTCTTCTGAAGTACTCATGGTTTAATGTCGTTACTTCCTGTTGACAACATGTCTATGGGCTTTATCTGAGATTGTTTTTGAAAGAGTAGCGATCCGTCATCCGTCATAAATGACAAAGTTAAATGCTTTTCAAACCTCAAATGTCATTTCAAAAAGTCTTGTCAGTAATTGAAAGTAGAGGTTTATGTGATAGTATCAGTGGCATTTGACAAGCATGTCTGGCTTTAATTATTCTCCTTGGTGGTGAATTATTTAGATCAGAGATGGTTCTTTCCTTAAGTATGTTCTGTACAGAATAAGGTTCAGGAAAGGTAGTGTTTTTCCATGTTTTTCCAGAGTATGTAATGCATGGGGATTAACATAACAACAATCCCCAACCTTTGAGGTCAACATATGATATATTTTCTCATAAGTACTATTGAATATGATTATTTTGTGCAGATTTGTTGGTCAAGCTGTCTCAGTCATATGTCATTGCAAAATAATCAATTATTGTTAATAATTAAATGGTTACGTGTAAAATAAAATAAAAAAATTTTAGAAGATTTTTTAACTGACATTTTCATGGAATTGAACATCTCAAATGTTCATTATTATAATGAAAAATGTATTCTCTTTATTAATGTGAAAAAACAAGTATGTATTTATACATAATGGTATATTATTTAAGTATCACAGCAATCCAAAATCAATTGATAAATGTGTTTACATGAAAACAATGTCACAATGCAACAAAACTTACTAATAATAATTTTTAAAAAAAGCTTCTCCTCTATTAAAGCAGTAGTGCTTTTCGATCGGGCGGCACATCAAACCTGAAATGGGCATTATGTCAACAAAACTTCATCATCTCCAGTGTCCCAGAATCCAGGTCAAGGGCTTTAGAAGGTGTGAAATACCGTTATGTTTGTCTGAGGTAGTTACCGACATATTCCTCACTCCCTAAAGACTATTATTTGCTGTAATTTCAAGGCTGAATGGCATTAGTTCATAACAAGAAAACACCCTTGAGGGCTCCTGACTTTTTCGAATAGATGATTCCTTTCTCTGGTTGTCATCTTTCCAATTTTCTCATTTTCAAATTACTGAAATGAAGTGTTTCGGGCTGGACTCTAGAGAGCGAGGTGCTATGGCGAAGACAGCCTTATTGTCACACTGTCCATCAGCAAAGACAATTACGCTTGTCAATTATTCATTGCTATATTTCAGAAGATTTACAGTTAATTTCAAAGGCCTCTAAATTATCAACATGATCAAAACTTTGAAAAACATGATTGATAGTTGATACTTTTTTATCCAGTAAAAGCTCTTTTAGTGTAATTGTACAAATGTCCACTTTCAGCTCGTGCTTCAAATGTCTTTTTGCTCTCAAATCTTTACTAATTTTTATCAAGTAAAGTCAGAATAACTGTAGTAATATTTCCATATTAACACTTACTGAACTGAAGCAGCTCGGCTTTACTTGATTCTCCATCAATCATATTTTAGAAAAATCAGCGAGTCTCAAATCTTATCATCAGGATCTTTCGAGAAACGTTTGCTTTACTTTCACTGTTTCTCAGCGGAGGAATAATCTTCCCAAGCCTCCAAAACATATCACATCTTTTGAGGAATGTTTATTTCTTCATCTCTCAATCATCATTGGATTGCATTGCATTATGTGTTTGGATCATTAAATCTCATCTTACTGAGACATTATTGGAGATATAGAGTGACAACTAATATTTATATCATTTTATGTAAGTATCTGATGTACTGTTATAAAGATCTCATTGATTTACAATTACACGCATATGAATTTTATCATATAAATATCAGCATCTGCAGTAGGTTGCATATTTTTGATAATTGTTAATTTTTTTCCCCCATATTCTCACTATATCAGACTATGAGCCATAAATGCCTGATGAATCAAATATGATACTGAAAAACACGTTTGAAATTTTAAAAAAATATTTTGTCTGAAGGTTCAGCAAACATTCCATTTTAATATATATATTGTATTATATGGTATAGAGAAAGGCAGCTTGCTAGGTTTTGAAACAGATCCACAGGAAGTTGTGTCTAAAAAAAGGTAGGAAAAAAATGGTATTCATGGTGTAAAGTGATTTAGTCACATGTCTTGATCTTTTATTAAATGTAAATTGTATTTTCATGTCATCAGATTAATCGGACACGCTGATTAACTTATAATAGCCACATTAGTCGAATTGGTCCAAATCATTAGCTCACAGTATAACCGATCAGTTCTGCAGTACAGAAATTGGTTCTTTTTCCTCGCAGTGCTCTGAATCCTAGGCTGTGAATTGAATAAATCATGTAGAAGAAGAGGCAGTCACACTGAGTGTGCATAGACTTTATTGAGTGCGATAGCTGCCAGGGATCACTCCCATACCAATTTATGACTCTGAACTATGGCTATTTTATGTGTCTCTCTCGTTTGACTTTAATCTTTCGTCTTATTCCATAGGTGAGGTACCGGGCCCAGCAGGGCGTCACTCGTCTGGCAGTGGTCAAGATGTTGGCGGTGTGGGTTTTGGCATTCCTCCTCTATGGACCAGCCATCATCTTCTGGGAACTGATGGTGGGAGAAAGCATCGTTCCGGAGGACGAATGTTTCGCCGAGTTCTACTGCACCTGGTACTTCCTACTCTCCGCGTCTACCTTCGAGTTCTTCTCTCCGTTCATCTCCGTGGCCTTCTTCAACTTCAGCATCTATCTCAACATCCAGCGGCGGAACCGGAGTCGTATGGCGCATGTGGAGGCCGAGAAGGAGGACGGCTGGAGGGTCATCGACGGACAGGCCTCGTCCGTTTTCTTTGTCAAAACGCGCAAGGTGTCCTCTAGCGAGCCAGCGACCATTTCGGCCGTGATCAAAGACGACGAGGAGGTTTCGCCGTCGTCCAGCGGCGATCCCAGCAGCACCCACTCCGTGTCCTTGACAATGAAGACGACCATTAAAAAGCGAGGGTTGCTCAGCGGTTGGGTAAGGACGCGCATAATACGAGCGCAGGAGGCATCAAATCCATGCGCCCCATGCAGAAGCGGAGGACACGCGCGTCTCTCAAGAGATAAGAAGATTGCCAAGTCCTTGGCAGTCATAGTGTGCGTTTTTGGGGTGTGTTGGGCACCGTACACTCTCCTTATGATCATACGGGCGGCCTGCAGCGGTAGCTGTGTGGAACATCATTGGTACGAAGTCACTTTTTGGCTCCTTTGGCTCAACTCGGCCATCAACCCTTTCCTCTACCCGCTTTGCCACAGCAGCTTTCGCCGGGCCTTCGCCAAGATTTTGTGCCCCAAGCGGCAGTCTGTTCGGCCACATGAGGAAAGCCCTTCCTGCCAGTGACATTCTGACGGCAACAAAAGGGATTTAATACTTTCACACTGAATATTGAAGGATGAAATAAAAGCACCAAGGCAAGAAAGCTAAACATTTCCGCCCAAGCAAATTACGCAATGGAAATCCATGTCATTACTTGGAGTAGCATGTTTTGTTCTTTGATGAAACTTCCTGACATAAGATTCTTTGAAGATTTGACTTTTTATTGATGGATATTAACAGTACAACTAACAGTTGTTATTTGTCTATCTCTTGTCTTGCAGTAACATAGGAACGGCGTTGTTTCACTCTTGTTAGCTAATGTACGTTGCATGTTCTGGGACATCTGTGGTGAAAAAGTGATGCAGCTTGTGTTCAGAACATATTCAGTTGACAGTTTGCCCACATCAACATTATTTATTGACTGTATATTCCACTCCATTGACTCACACGGTTCAGTGAAGAAGAGGTGATCTATGTGAGACGGCATTACAACTCAAATGAGAAAAGACAAATATAAGGTGTGTTCTACCACTAAAAACATGAGCTTCACAGTCAGACTGCTATGGACAAGATTGAAACTAATAATGTTTTTGAATGGAAGTTTTGTGAAATTTTTGTGAAATGTGAATTAAGTTCTCCTTTTTATAAGCTGAAAATCTTGAAAATGTCAATCAATTCTTATATGAAAGAATTGGAATGTAGCAACTGTGTCATGTGGACAATTTTATGGTGGCTTTTTTTTGTCATTTATAGTGATCAGCCCTGATCCCTTTTTTTATAGTATTTTTCTCATCTTTAATTCTCATTTTTATAAGCTGAAAATCTTGAAAATGTCAATCAATTCTTATATGAAAGAATTGGAATGTAGCAACTGTGTCATGTGGACAATTTTATGGTGCTTTTTTTTTTGTCATTTATGGTGATCAGCCCTGATCCCTTTTATTAAAAAAGAGCTCTCTGGACTTTCAACAATGTCTTCTTTTTGTGTTTCACGGAGGAAATAGTGTCACACAGCTTTGGAAGGACATGAAACAATTTTAATTTTGGAGCATATCTCTTTAAGATATTTTTTTTCTTGACTAGATTCATGGTTACAGTGTCATTGTCAACAACACTGAAATCATTAAAATGGCTTTATGAGTATAACTGTATAACTTTGAATGTTTTAAAACTTGTTTACAATGATTTCAATGTTTTTTGGTGTTTTTTTTGGGGGGGGGGGGGGGGGGCGGGGCGGGGGGAGAGGCTTGTGATACTTTTTTCA